TGGATGTTGATCCGGCTACTACCATGAGTAGCAGCGGTTTCATACCGCCTGCCGTAGAGACTGGTATGTGTTGATCTTATTTTACCTTTACCCCATATATGAGAATTTCTCAGGTTTGCTCGTCATACCTCAAAGTAATGCTGTCAATACTGTGGATCCGACATTAATGGCACAAGCACAGTTAGCAGCGGCTGCTGCAGCACAGGTTCAAGTCCAAGCTGCTATTAATCAGCAGCATCAGGTGGTTGGTTCCTTACTATTTATTTGAGTTTACTTTCGAATTATGTATGTAACAGATAGCCGCCGCTGTTGCGCAGCAAGTTGCTGCTCACATTGTGAACGCTGCGCCAGTAGCTGCTCCCGTACCTGCCCCTATTCCTACACCCATCGCTGCCCCGATTGCTCCTGCACTCAATCAAGTTGGTGCTTGCTAGTTACTTTCTGTACATATCTTTTTTACCCTATTCTTACAAGGCATATCATTTTTAGACGCCTATCTTGGCCCCTGCTCCAGCTACATCGTTGCTTCTGACTCCATCCCTCAATCCGATAACGAATCCAATCACCAATCCTATTCCAAACCCCATCACTCCCATGTCCGACATGGTTACGATCCCAAGAGAGGTAAGTGAATAGTCATTCCTGATATACGATCGTTATTTTACTCATCTTATAGGTGCTTGTGAAGCTTATTGAAAACAATCCTCCTCGAGTGAATTGCACTTGCCAATGTACATGCGGTCGTTATCCACCAGGTTGCGCTATAGTAGATGAAGTCAGTCTGAGAACTGTTCTCTAGCATCGACGCAGCTGGAAGCTTTTTGTTTTTTTAGGTTACGAAAGATCTTTTGGCTGCAGGAAATAATTCAGCTTCTACAAGTAATACGACCGTAAGCAACAGCGTTGAAAACAAGGAAGAAGCAAAGCTTGAAAGTGCCGAAGATTTTCATGTAAGTACCAAACTTTTCCCTTTCTTGTCTTTGAAGTGAGTTTGTTTTCAAGATGAATGGTTTGCTTCCGTCGGATGAGTCAAGCGTTCAATGGTTGAATGCTTGTGCACCGACAGTTGATCCAAGGGCTGTAGTGGTGAGAATTTACTTATGTTTGTGAATTATTTTCTCCCTATAGTTTATTTAGTGGTTTTATGTTGCATTGAAAGACCGAATTTTTCAAAAATTGTTCTGTTTTCGGGAAGTTCAAAAAAGAACGCAAAAGACCTTTTTACACATGCCTGCGGTTGTACACGTGGACCTTTTATCTTAGAGATAAAGAATAGCATTTAGAAGTTGAACATTTTAGGATGAGCGGCCCAGTGGACGAAGGGATTCGTTTTACATGAACTCAGGGACAGTTGACACAAGGATAAATTCTGTTCC